GAAGGGGGTAGGGTGTTAGCATATATTACATATTTAGTATTAGGATAGTTTAATCGGTTACTTTATTTGTATTGCCTTACCATACACAAGGGCTCTATTGTGTACGCTCTTAATTAGGTTGTAGGCTTGTCCCCTCTCCCCCTAGGGCGGGCTCCCCTCTTTAATCAAAGTTATCACATGGGTGGAAGAATCGAAACAGGTGAAAGATTTTTTGGGAGAATACAATATCAAAAATGGATTCATAGCATCGAAAAACCTTATGGAGTTAAATGGGGTAGCATTTTCAAGTCTTAAGGGTTAAAAATACATCAAAATGGAGTTTGGACTGAAGAAATGGTTTGTCCAGACGCAAGAAACGCACGTCTGAACATGCCTTAAGAAATTTGGCATCGTCCGAACACAACGTGCCTCTGAAACCAGCCCTGATTAGGTTTGAGTGTTTCCTCCGTTTTTGACATTATAAATATCATAGGGAATTTTTTACATTTTTCAATCCTAAGCCTATGAGAGTTTTGGAGAGATGAAGGACGAAGAAAAGAGCAGATTAGGCTAGGAATTGATGAGATCCACACTCAGAAAACAACATAAAACCCTTCGGATCAATTTCTACAAAATCAAGGTAGGGTTTCTTTCCTTTTCCTATTCATTGAGGCTAGGGTTATTATGTATATAATTTGACTCGAATCCATGTATATATTATAGATTTACAAATGCTTTGAATATCTTGCAAAAGTTTGATTCTTTCTCATTAGAAAAATACCTGATTTACATCCGATGTGCGTTTTTAGTTTACAAAACCCTAAATCTTGAATAATGTCTAATTGATACTATTTCTTCGCAATCTCACGCATGTTTTATTAAAATTTCCCTTACTTTAAGAAATGTACCAACCAATCAACCAAACCAAGTCTTATGTCCCAATCATTTGGGGTCGGCTAACTTTAAGAAATGTGAAAACTGGTATTTATGGTACATGTGATCTATTTCAAAAGCATGATATAAATCTTTTGTATTGGTTGGATGAATAAACGTGGATGCACGTGAATTTATATCGTAAAGTGTTTAGATGTTTTTCTTATTTCGAGGGGTTTGAAGGTTTCCTAATTCCTAGCAAGGTTGTAAACCATTATTCGTTTACCTAGACTCGAGATTGATGGTAAGTATACTACTTTTAGGAAGATTCTGTTATATTCCTGTACAAGTTGTTTATTCTATGATAAAATTTCTGTACATGTAGCAAAACTTGAGATCGTTAACAAAGTCACATGTTTTATTTCTAAAGTTATATCTTTATTTTAGAAATTGAGACCTACTTGCTTTTATATATTTTGCAAACTTTGTTTAAGGTTGAGAAAGTTTCTCTGGATGTTGAAGCAGAACAGAATGTGGATTTGGAATTCGAGGCGTAGAAATTGATTCATTCGTTTTAATTTTGTGGTTTTTGAGGATATCATATGGTTAATGAATGCTTTCTATTCGGTTAGACTGGGGATATATACTATTGTATTGGTTAGGATGTAAGCTTGGTTTATGGATTTATACTTTGTGATTTTATTTGCTAGTTGATGTTGGATTTTAATTTCTGAAGTAAATGGATGATTGTTTTAGAATACTCTCATGATTTCTAAAGGTTGTGCGCCAACCTGACTAATGGAAGGTGCCTCGATGTTGGGTCAGTCACACATTAAATAGAACATGCAATGCTAGTATGCCATTATAATACGTCCTGCATGGTACGAGGTGAGGTATGTATGGTGTTGCAGAGATGTTAAATTCCAAAATTTAGGATAAGTTCCTGTGTGGCCAGATTTGAGAGTTTGACATATAGTTCAAAGGGTTTGACATCAGATTTGAGGGCCATAACTGTCCCACCCCACCTGGTCTCAGGGACCGAGAGAGACAAGAATTGTCTAGTGCAACACCTTCCTCTTTGACTCTCCCTACTCTACCCCCACTTGAACTCACTCTCTCTCTACCTTCTACCTTTTCTCCCAGACTCTCTCTAAATTGAAACTTATCCCTCTAACAAAAGGCCTACAATCTTAATACATTATCTCCTTCAACCTCTTCATATTTTTTTCTTAAAAAAACCCACTCCTCAAAATCTGCACCTCCCAAGTAGTAAAACCTCAATCCACAAGCCAATTACCAAAACTTACTCCTACAAAGCACCCAAACCAACCACCAAAAGCATTCTCCTTTTTCATACTTACTCCACCAAAACATAAAACCCCTTTCAATCACATAGCTCTCTCTTAACTGGCTATCTGAAAGGCTCAAATCTAACTGTCCCCAATCTGCCACTAAACACACCTTCAGAAGATCACTTCCTCTCAACCAAGACGAATAGATCAACAGCAGAACCAGAGTACGCTGGTAGTTATATATAAAAGTCAGAAAACGAGAAGAGGTTAACCTGAATTGTGCAGCCATGGATGCAAGTTTTCTTTCATATACCTGTGTGTAAGATAGAGAGAAGAAAAGGGAAGGGCGGGCACGGGGGGCTGGGAAGTTCCTGGTTAACTTCTTCACTGTCAAGGATCTTTATATTTTTTCAAATATATGTTTTAAAATGCTGTGGTCGAGTTTTATTAACAGTCACCATAGCTCTGTCTGAAAAGATACTCACCGTCTGTAAGCCACTATTTTAAACTATTAAGTTTCTTGATGGACTTAATTTATAATCATGTTCCAATAATATATCCTCAATATTAAATTAATCCTATAGAAGATGAACGTCATATGTGTTCATCCAACATAGTGTGTAAACTTGTGAAAAGCACTTAACTAAATGCTTGTAGCTGCTAAAAAACATATTTATGCACAATTCATTGCAACTATTCAATACATTTTTGGAATCAATCTATTTAACTTGTGAATTCATAAAGCCTTATGATTAGAAGTATGTTGTGAATTTATAAAGCCTTACGATTAGAAGTATGTTTTCTTCAGAATTCATTTTCAATAAGCTTGATTGTAAATTTGTAATTCGCCTATATCAACACCGAGTGTGTTTTCAAATCAGTGGACAAAAACGTTGACTGTCATTTTGATTGAACTAAAAGTATTCCTGGTGCAGAACCCCAAGTCACATTAAAATCAAAAAAAAACCTGAGTAACATAGAAGTTGTTTTTTTTAGTTTGAAACCAGCCATTCCATTGGCTGAAGGAGCATAGCAACAAACATAATGAGATGCTAAAAAATTCTAACCTTAACATATTACTTAAAGCAGAAACAGCAATTATGACAAACCAGGGCTATAAGCCACACTTTGCAGTGAGAACTCACTTCAAAATCAGATAAGAAAATAAAAATAATATACCATATCACCACGTAAGTTTCCAAAGCCTGCCAAACATAGAACTGTAGAACAAAGAATTAAGGCCACAAAATACCAATTGCAGCAGATTTAACACCCACTCACCCCCCCCCCCCCCCCCCCCCC